ACTGACGGATTTTTGTTGCCATTTGCATTGCTTCCTCGCTGGATGGTGGCTTGTCATCAGGAGTTGAATCGATGCCTTGTTTTTTAAAGCTTCGTGGATTTGCGTCTTTCCGACTCCAAGTGTCTGCTGGACTTAACTTTGTGTCCAAGCCTTGCTCAAACGGATGCATTTCACTCGCTCTGCTCCAGTCATTACAGTTCTTCTACGTTTCGATGCCATGATCTACACGACGTATGTGAATAAAGTTAAAATCTTTCGCAATTGCAGTCAAATGCACGCCAATAAAAAGTCACTTACACGTCTTCGTTTCGAATCTGATGAATGTAAACGGCGAAGCGAACACGTCTGTTCGGTCGTGTCGAGTGGGTGCTGCTTTTAAGCTAGTGCCGCGTTCTACAGGACGTTAAGTGAATAAAGTTGAAATCATTCACAATTACAGTAAAACGCACGCCAATAAAAACTCACTTACACGTCGTCGTTTCGAATCTGATAATCGAAAAACGCGAAGTGAAAATGTGTCTCGGTGTCGTCGTTCCGTAGCATCGGGTGGGCGTTGCGTGTATTTAAGCTCCCACGGCATGACGTCTCAATCCGGGTTACGGGTAGTGGAATTTCCGCTTACGTAAGTTCCGGTAACATGTAATATCGTAGTCAAAATGTTAATGCACAGGCTTTTGTTCCGGGTGAAGGATATTCCTTTTCATACAATTCCGGGGATGGGAATATTTACTGTATATGGATCAATATTCTGGTTTCTTGGACGTAATATTTTAAATGTTCTGTAAAGCACATTGTTACAGCTGCGGCGGTTGTGAAAGCACGATATAAATAAAGCTGTATTGTATTGTATTCCCCTCAGTGAAGCTCCATCTAGTCGAAGCACAACGCAAGCCCAACCACTACTGTAAATTCTAATCTATGTGCCTCATAATGCAGTGCGCCCAATATAGGAAAACAGTTTTAAAATTGGCCATTCATTGAAGGTGCTCATTATACTACGAAATGCCTTACAGTGTGGAAAATACGGTAGTTGAGGAACATTGCTTTTTGATTAGGGTATGTTTGTCATGTCATCAAGCTCAGTATACTATCCTGCAAAAAAAAATAGCATTAGCCAAGAAGCTAACATAGCATTCTATATCTACCCACACTCAGTGCCCTTTATTGTCAAAAGGGGTTCTCTTTAGAAGTCTATAGATGGACAACCTTCTTCATTCAGATTTTCGGACTGAATTGGCAAGATGATGCCGACACCACGCTCGTTTACTTTCCCAAAGGCAAAGTGTTGACAGCAAAGGGCAAACTGTTCCGCGGCCCCCCCGCCGTCACCCCACGGATGACGAAGTTGTCATCCCATTTCATCATTCGTGCGTTTCTTTCAAAACGTGTTGCTGCACACACAACACGCAGAGGCGTGCACAGGCAGGCAGGCCTCTGTTGTTTGTTTTGTATCCTTGACTGCGAGCACACAGTGTGGTGTGCGGTTCTCAGGCTGAAACAACACGGAGATGAACAGCGGCCAATGAGAAACTCTCTGAAATTCACCGACGGCATTAAATGTCACGGCGTTCATATTTGAACATTTACCGTCTACTGTAAAATGAAATAGACCAGCAGTCCTGGTACTGGTCCGTGGGTCATTTGGTACCAGGCCGCACAGAAATAATACATAACTTACATTACTTCTGTTTTATTCATTTTTAAATCTTTATTCTGAAAAATGACCGGATTCTCTTTTACATCCGTCTACAGTATGTCACTCTTGACGCAGGTCCAGGCGCGCTTCTTGGTTTCGTGATAGGTTACTGCTAAAATGAAACCCAGGAGCTAGCAAAATGAGTAAAAAAAACAAAGGTCTTTGGAAAGTTTCTTTGGGAAAGGGAAAAGGCCCAGCCAAGAGACAGAAGAGGAGCCTACGACTTCCAAGAAAAAGAAGGCTAAAGTTAATAGACAGAACTTAAAATACGGATTTATCTCAACGGGAGTTTCCCACGCACCAAGCCCACTCTGCATAATATACGGCGATGGTGACTCGTATTTTTCATGCACTTTGGATGTGCCCAGTATCTTATTTTGAAGGCATGTTTAACTGTTACCATAGCGACCAAAGAGTGTTGCGGCCATTTCGGACGTTCCTCATGTCGTGATTCGTGTTTATTGTTATGTTTCGAAAATACCACAGTTTTCATGCCGGTCATATCATATTATTTTGGTGTATTTATCCGGCCTTAAAGGCCGGTCCCTGAAAATATTGTCTGACATTAAACCGGTCCGTGGGTCAAAAAAACCGCTGAAATAGACGAATAGACAACTAATGTCATGTAAAACATCACAAACACACCAGCAAGACTCTGCCTCTGATATCCATGGCAGCTCGACAGATGGCCGCGAACATCGCCTTGTTTGGCTTTTCTTGACGCTCCTTAAGAAAGACTCAAATGTATGTTGCCACATAAAACAGTGCCTCAACAGCACAAATGACAATAACGTGGCAGCCTAGAGCCAGTCTGCTGTTAGCGCAAGAAACAAACGGCACATTCTAGATCTCTGCTTTCGGCACAAACAAATGCACAACAACATCCAAAATCTGAAAGCTATTTTCCCCCCGTGTCCATCCGTGTCTTAGTGATTAAAAAAATAAAAGTTAATTTCCTGAAGTGGAATAATTTGTATTCTGGACAGACGCAATGACTCACTTCCTGACATGACTCCACTTAGACATGCCACTGGGGCTGAAGCCTGGGCTTACATTGTAAATAGTTAGAATGTAATCGAGACTCTGCGCTATGCCAGCTATGTCGTCGTCTGTGCTATCACCGTTTCTTATCGCTATCTTCCGCTTTAACAAGGAAAGGATCAACTAATCGCATCTTGTCATCACGAGCAGAAACTTGCTACAGCATTATCATTTTATGGTTTCTGTTTAAACATTGAAAAAACGTGCGATACGGGATCAAGGTAGGCATACGCCAGGACTGCTGATGAAACAGGATGAAAAAAGTTCATATCTTGATTGGCACTTTTTTGCGAAGGAGAGTGGCACAAGTCAAGACATTCGGCACACTTTCACAATCTAATGAGCTCCAAAGCAATAAACCTCAAAGTCTTACAGAAAAGTGCTGATAAAAAGAAATAATAGACCAAAAGAAAACCACACAAATATTATAAAACACAATATATAAAAAAAACAAAAAAACGTCACTACAAACATATTAGGAAATAATAAAAGTCAAGATAGATTTTCAAAATATTAACGTGAAAAAGAAGTCTTAAATGCATAAATGCAAAATTATTCAACAAAAATACTGACATTTTAAGGAATACAAAATATTTAAAATCTAAATATTTGACAAACAAAATGTCAAGAGGAGGAAATAATTCAAAATATGAGCCCATCATTAAAATATAAAAATAAATACAATTTGTAAAAATGTGACAATAAAATACAAAATATTAGAGAAAATACTTTTAAAACATACAAAATTGGAGGATGTCAGACAGTTTGGAAGATGAAATATATCATTCAAAATATTTGTATTCATGTTATTAGAAAAAGTACAACATATTAAATTAATAATATAAACATTAGCTGAAAATGTCTCCAATATTAGTATGATTGATATTAAGTATGACGCAAAAACACAAAATATCAGACAAGAATACAATGGCTGCTATATTCAACATATTGCAGAATAAAACCTATTCAACACAAATATTTGAAAAAAAGTGAAATGGAACCAAAGTACTTGACCAAACAAACATAATGGGAAACAAATACAAAATATTAAAACATTGATATATTTGGGGGAAAAAAACAGTTGTGCAAAAAAAAAAAAAAGTAAAATATTGAACCAATGCAATACAAATAAATAAAAAATATTCATCAATAAAAAAAGGACTCATGGAAAAAAATTGAAGAACAAAGAAAAAAGTACAATGATTGGTCCTTTTTTTCCCCCAATTAAAATAATCATATGACCGGACACCAACTGGGTGATTTTTCCACTTGATGCAAGCAATGTTGTTCTTAGTCCTTATCTTGAACTGGTCTGGCCTAGTATTTGTGCCACATTCTTGTTCAACTAAACTGATCGCTTTAAATCTGTCAGGATTAATTTATTAGACTCTACATTTCCCAGTGTCGCAGTGCACTTGATTGCTTCGTTTGTCTCCACTTAAACATGGACGTCGTTCTTTTGTGTGTCATGGCATCCGAGAACGCTCACCCAATGCGTTGTGAATGTCTGCTCTTTTAATTAGAAGGAATGCGGTCTTTCCTGCCGGTGCTGTTGCTTACAGTGTGTGTGTGTGCTTGGCGTCTGCGAATCAACAAAGCTCCTCTGAACATTCTTAAGAGCCCCACTGGCATAATTGCGTCGATTAAAGTCCCGTGCTTGTGAACCTGGGACAGTGCTGCTCGACGTGTCTACTTTCTCTGCAGCTGGAACAAATTCTTAGGCTTTAATGAACACTTGTTTTCAGCACATTATGTAAAAAAAATAAAATAAAAAAAGGGAAAAAAAAAAAAAAAAAAAAAAAAAAAAGGGAGAGAGAAAAAGAGAAAAAGAAATGCAGAAAATATTTGGAAATAATACGTTGTATCGAATAGGGGAAAATCATGGAAAAGGTTTGAGGAAATCAAAAGTTCATTTCAGTCGCCATCATTTGAGCAATCTAACAAAAAGCGAAAGTACCGTATTTTCCCCACTATAAGGCACACGTAAAAGCATTCAATTTTCTCCAAAGCCGACGGTGCGCCCTATAATCCGATGCACCTAATATAAAGAGACTGAAACTCTCTTTACATTCCCCATTGAATTGTTTTGGTGTTCGTGTTCCGATGCCATCCAGTGGTGATTATTTGCAGGAACCAATTGTAACCTAAAAGAGTTCTGCCCAACACAAATTGACATGTGCAGTCGCCAACACACACTCAAACAGACAACTACTTTGTCAGCTCTGCGCAGCCATTATGAAACGATAATTCCAAAAGCATACTTAACTACTGACTAAACGAAGGAAGAAGGAGACAAGCAAGACTTTTAAGGATATTTAGCCCCTTGTGGATCTGAGTCCACGAGGTTTGTGTGCCTTTTTGTTGAATCAATTGTCTTCATAACTTGTCTTTCATTTATTGTTTTGTAATGCCATTTGTATTTATGTTTTATTTCCGTGTGTGTGACCAGTTCCAATGGCTTTTTTTAGAACTGCAGCGATTGTGAAAGCTCTGTATAAAGCTGTACTGTATTGTATTGTATTCCTGTGGCGTAGCATCATCTAGGGCAGGGTCCCCCAACCTTTTTTGCCCCACGGACCGGTTTATGTCAGACAATATTTTCAGGGACCGGCATTTAAGGTGTGGCGGAAATAATACAACAATAATATGGTATGAGCTGCATGAAAACTGTAACGTTTTCGAAATATAATAATAAACACAAGGAGCGTCTAATCTGGCCGCAACACTCCGAGCGCTATGGCAATGTTTAATGCCTCCAAAATACGATACAACGCAAATTCAAAGTGCATGAAAATGACGACTCACCACAGCACCGAGCTTGATTTTCTGCAACCAGACGG